GGGGGATCAACTAGGTTTTTAGGGGGATTTTGTTTGTCTCTCCTGGAAAAAAAATCATGTTGGTGTAGGTACGCGTTTAGAGAATAAAACCGACGATATGTCATCGTGGTTTCTGGGTCGGTCCACTCGAGTGCGCCCCACTGCCGGCATGTGTCACCCTGTATATATATATATATATAAGTGGTGGACGGACTCTCTAGTGTGGTCTTCCTCTACTACTTTGCCCTCGGTGTTACAAACCAAAAAGTGTCCGCTTTATGCGATTTTATCCGTTAAACGTGGTCTGCCTTTTGTACTACTGCTTTCAGTTTACAGCAGGTTTTACTATTATCTGTTCCTCCCTTGCTACGTAGCTTGGTCTTCCCTTTCCGCTTTTTCCTGTGGTGTTGCAACAATAAGTGTCAACATTATTTGTTCCTTTGTAAGCTCACTCCTCCCCTTCTACCCACACTCGTGGCACTCTGGTCCCAGTCTACTCGTGCTTAGATCCGACTGCCACTACGTGGAATCGCCGTAAAATAATTATGCAAGAACCCGACCTTATAAACGAAAACTAACAACACATTCGGAATCAGTACATTAATTTCCAAAAGATTTGACGACATTCATCTCCTAGCCTTTTTCGTCGTTGACCAGTGCAATAATTTACCTTAGGCTTTTCAATATAGCGTTTGGCTTGATGTTTTCTGCTGTGAGATCATGAACGTCTTGTTTCTGTGTCTATTTGTGTGTGTTTGTGCGTGTGTGTGCTGTGCCTCGCTGTTGAGACTGTTGAGGAGTGGTCAGCGGTAGTGTCCAGCAGCTATGACGTTGGTGTCTAGGAGAAAGGTCAGTCATGGAGTGGGGGGTCAGAGTTCGTGGGTGGTTGGCGGGTGCTCTGGTGTGTGGTTCACTCCTTTTTTCCAATCAAACATCTATCGTCCTTATCTCCCCTTCTTCTTTTGTATGTTTGTTACTCTCTTGTAACACCTCTAATCTTCGGCACTTATATGACCTTATTGTGTTGCAAGTGCCGTAAAGCACTTACTAAAAAGGGTGCTCTGGTGTGTGGTTCGCTTCTGTTTCCTATCATATCGTCCTTATCCCTCCTCCTTTTCTTTGTATGTTACCGAGGATACCGGAACTAACTAGTTTATTTTTGGATGCCTTGTATTATGTTACCATCTAGGGATATCTCTGTGGGAGGTTGGCGGGTGCTCTGGTGTGGTATGCTTCTTCTTTCCTATCAAACATCTATCGTCCTCATCTCCGCTTCTTCTTTTTTATGTTTGTTACTCTCTTGTAACACCTCTAATCTTCTGGTGCTCATATAACCTTATTCAGTTGCGAGTGCCGTAAAACCTCTACTAAAACTGAACTAAGTGATATCTCTAGTCTTCGGCACTTATATGACCTTATACGTGTTACAAGTGCCGTAAAACTGTTACTAAAACTAAACTTAAAAGTTTGTTTCTTCTTTTAATTTTGTCTCCCTCTCTCATTTTGAATTGTCCTTATCTGTTTTTAAGTAAAAGCTTGAATTTCAAGTAAAAACTTAACTAGTCTTCTCTCTCTCTCTCTCTCTCTCTCTCTCTATATAT